ATATGTAATACTCCTATATTGAAATGCTTACACATTGAGAAGCTGGCTTACTGCCAATATAGAAGTGTTACATATATAGTGTATTATAACTTTTTCTGAAGGAAATTAATTTTTCATTTACAAAATTGTATGTTTTTTCATATGTAGGAAACTAATTCACCAAACCGAGAAAATAGAATATGTAATTTTTTGGTACAATGAAAAATAAATTTCCGCCAGAAATGTTACGATATACTGTTTGTTCTTTTGAAAATTGGGAGAGTCAAACATTATTTTTGGTATTTAGTTTGTTTGCCATTTTTGCTTAGAATTAATCGTAGAATTTGAATTTGCTATACAATTTCCTCGAAAATTTTTCTTCGAAAAAATTACTCCGCCCTAAGACGCATACATATGTGTACATACCTACATGTATTAATGCATGTGAGCATGAAACTCCTAAAAGGAACATTTTTTTGGCAACTACGCTAATTTTGAAGACATTTTGGCTTAACGCCTCCTTTTGCCTTTTTGCGGTTGTAATGTTATGCTCTTAAAATTTCTTTTATTTCTAATTTGTTTGCTTGCGTAATTTGCATTTTCGCTGTGGCGTTATTTTAGCCTCAATTCGGGTATATTTAAATAATGGGTTGGGCTGAATTTTTGTTTGTGGCTTTTTTTTACTTTTAAACGTTTTTGGGACTAACTAATATTCATGCTCCTTGGTACGAGTTATTTTTTATGTAAAACATTTTAAAATTTATTTATATATGNTTTTGGGACTAACTAATATTCATGCTCCTTGGTACGAGTTATTTTTTATGCAAAACATTTTAAAATTTATTTATATAGGTTGCACTGGTATTTATACCTTTCTTCCTATTATTATCTAACAGCTGCATAATTCAGTTTTTCATTTGTAATTTTTGCTAAAAGCTCTTCAAAAATGTTCTCGTAAATACATTGCGATTGCCTGTGGTGTTGCTGAAGCTAAATAAATTGCATTATGTTTGTGCTATGCTATCCTTGCAACACGCATATTTTGTCCCTTAAAGTTTGTGGTCAACGTTTCATGGGGAATTATCTTCCAATTGTTATTGCCTTTGTTGCTGCTGTTAATAACAACATTTGCATTTTAATGCAGTGTGCCAGGCAAGTTAAGTGCAAAACTGTGTTTGTCTGGCCAGCTTCAATGCCAGTTAAATCGCATTAAAATCTGTATTACCGGTTTGCGTCATCAGTGACCGAGTTGCTCGGCTGGTGTACCTATTATGTGGAGAATACAAATATTCTTATGTATGTAAATCTGTGGTGCAATGAAAAGTACCTTTAAGGGCGCATGCACATACCGAGGCCTCCAAACGATACCATGCTAAGGTCACCTTAGACTTAATCAGACTTAGCATAATATGGTTTGGAGGAGTCGATTTATACATACATATGCATATATATGCACAAGTGTTGAAAATATTCATTCCGCTTTGCTTTTAAAAACAAGCACATTTTTATCTATTTTTCGATTTCAAAGCCGCTGTCAACACGTGCCAAAAGTGCCCAGAGCGTGAGAAACGCAAAAAAAAACACATTTCGTGTCCGGAATCAGCAAATCAGCTATAGACAATAATTTTATGTGTATTTATGTTATATGGCTAATAAAATTAGCAAATAACTACATTTTCTGAAACTTCTGTGGCATTTTCCATTTCCACAATAGCTTTTATGGAAAAACAGGCTGTCTCCGGCACGAAGGAGAAGACATTTACGATCCAAAGATGAAACGTATTCGCTCTCTATTACCCATTTTTTTAGCATGAAGAACGCTTTCTGGGCTGTTTGGGCACCCGCAGGATGCCGCGGGCTCGTGTGGAACAAACTTATTGTCTGCAGAGGGGCGATGCACAGTGGTTAATAAATGGAATTTAATGTTCATAATACACTGGAGCCTTAATTTTTCAACCAATTTTTATTATTGAAAGCTTAAAAAATTTACAAGAGATTAGTTAAGTCCGATTTTTGATTTTTTACATTCTCCTATTAAATTTTTTAGTGCAAAGTGCAGTAAAAGTGGTAATTTTGAAAAAATTTTACATAATAAAACCTAGTTGAAAACAATTGCAGGGTTCGCCCAAAATGAAAAAAAAATATTTGAAATGTAAAAAAATTTTCACTAAAAGTACTTTTTTTGTTTTTTAGTTTTAATAAAAATTTTGGGTATTCAGTTTTGTAGATCATTAAATTTTAGTATAATAAAAAGCACGTTGCAAGTGGCTAAGTGTTTGCGTTGACTTTAAATTTTGAGTAAATCTGCATGCTATATGTAAGTAGACCATAATTATTGCAGCTGAATCCGCGACAAAAAATAATTTTGCTAGTTTTTTTCCACAAAAGTCTTGAAACAAAAAATTTTTAAATTGCCGTTAATATTTTGCTTTCACACCCGGCTCATTGGACTGTGTGTCTTTTTTGTTGGTTTTGGAATCCATATACATTAACAAAGTTTGAAATTTTAGCGCAAAATTATAACTACAGAAACAATCTACATATCGATGGCTGAGTGGAAGATGGACCTATTTCGGCAGCCATTTCGAAAACGCCGTATGCCAGAAAATTTTTCAACAATGCCCTATTTCAGAATTTGGTTGAAGAACGCACTATTTTAGAATTTGATTGGAAACTGCCCTATCTCAGAATTCAATTCAAAAGCGCGCTATCTCAGCACATTCTCAATGTATTTTCGTTTGAGATAAGGCGTTTTGGAACCAAATTTTAAGATAGGGTGTTTTTAAATAAAATTCCAAAATAGGGCATTCTTCAATAAAATTCTGAAATAGGGCGTTCTAGGAAAAACTTTGTGAGATATTGATAAGAATATAAACTACACGAGACAAAGATAATGCTTTGACTTCCCATTAAGCATGCAGAGGTGCTCGAAATTTTAGCCAGAAAAATATTAAAAATCTACGCCAACTTTTCGACACTTTTAACTTGCTCTTTAAAATCAAAACACCTATTAAATTGTATACCCATAATTTTCTGAAAACTAAAAAAAAAATTGAAATTCTCGTTAAAGTTTTTTTTTTATAACATGTATTGTCAATACTCTTTTTTTTTTTTTTGAAGGAACTCTACAATTGTTTTCAACTAGTTTTATTATGTATCGTATGTATGTATTATTATGTTTCAAAATTGCTCCATTTTTGCACTTTGCACCGAAAAATTTAATATAGTCAATAAAAATTCAAAAATCGGATTCAATTGGTCTCTTGAAAAATTTGAAAGCTTTCATGAAAACAAAAAAAAAAATCATGAAATTAATTGAAACCACTGTGTTCGCCAGTTTGAATTTAGTTAGTTTTTGGTTGTTATCTTTGGGCTTAATAAAAAATCAACTCAAGCAAGATTTTGTGTAAATATTCACAGTTCTTTAATATTTTAAAAATTTCCGTATTTTAACAAGCTTGTTTTTTGTTTTAAAAAGTAAACAAACAAAAAAGATATGTAAATCTTATCTAAGAAAGAGCGATTATTTAGTAGTTACATCAAATTCCCCTGAAACGGCGTGTTAAATTATTGTCACTAAATTATTGCCAATTTAAGCAGCTATTTTGTAGCTAGATTTAGCTATTATTTTCAACATTTAGCTATAGAAATTTGCATTTAGCTTTTAGCTCTTTTTTTAATCGAATCAGCTATTGTAGACACATTTTTTTTTAAATTTCTCCATTTTTACATAGAATTTTATAATTTTTAACTGACTCCTTATTTTTCAGTATACTGTGCTGTATGCTTATCAAACTGTACAAAACTTGGTACTCTGGCATGCTTCATACATTTTTATTACAACTATTATACCGCACGACAAAAAAAAAATATGTTTTTTTTATAATATATTTAAAATTTCAAAGTAATTTAAAAAATACATTTTTAAAGTCCTTTTTAGTCGCACAGTGTCATCAAACGCCTAATTTTGTTCACAACGNATATGTTTTTTTTATAATATATTTAAAATTTCAAAGTAATTTAAAAAATAAAATTTTAAAGTCCTTTTTAGTCGCACTGTGTCATCAAACGCCTAATTTTGTTCACAACGTTTTTTTTTTTTAATATTTACTAGTTACAATTTTACTATGCCAATTCAATGTGTGTAAATATTTAGGTACATTTGTAATAAAATAATCATTTTCGTTTGGGTTATAATATCTAATTATTAGAGACATATCTACATAAAAGTATGATATTACTTTTAGTTACCTTACCTTACCTTTTTGAATAAACGTTTATTTAGCTCTTTTTTAAGAAAAATATTTTTAGCTATTTTTTTGTTTTTGGTGATGAAACAAATTTTTTACCAGTTTTAGCTATATTTTCGAAGAAATCAGCTATAAGCCTCAAAATATTCTGACAGCACTGCCATAGACGTATGCAGGGGACTTCATCTAAGGAGCCAATCGCTCATAGACCCAACCGTTTTCACCTCTATGCACTAGTTTTTCGTCGACCTCCTGTAACGATAGAATATACTTCAAGTCAACAATAATGTTCATTCATTTAGACGAGAAAAAGAGTATCTAATAGTAGCAAATAATTTTAAAGCGTAGTAAAGTCGAGTCTATCTATAAACAAAAACAAAAGTAAAAAACACAAGTCACAAACTATTGTTGTTTTTTCCACGATAATTTTTTTCAAATACAGCCCGCCTCAAGCTCAATAAAATTTTTGTATTAATATTAATCTTAACCTTGTTGATTTACTTAAAAAATTTATTTAATTTAAATAGAAACATTGTTTTGTTAATATTGTCAAACAACAATCTGCAAAATGCAATAACAAATTCAAGGAACAAGCACCAATGTAGCCGCTTGTGTGGCGTCTTAAAATAAGGCTGATCTGAAACCCAACGAAAGCTAAATGGCATTTAAATAACAATTCAAAATTAAACTTAATTGGTGCTTAAATATTCATCAGAAATTGGCCCTCAATCTTATCACAATTTAAGATCGACATTTTTATCGATATAATAATCGGCACGTGACATGTGATGCCATTATATGACATCCCTTAAATCTAAAAAAAAAAAAAAAAAATAAAAAATATTGAAAAAACTGATAACCTCCTCCTTTTTTGGAAGTCGGTTAAAAAAACGAAATTGACCGCTTCGCGTCCGCTTATGGGAGTTTTTTCACAACTGGATATGTTTGAGTGGCCGTGTCCATCTATCGAAAAGTACGTGAATGGTAGAGCATTTTGTATGAAAAAAAGGAAAACCAAAAATTTTTCGTTCCCAAGAATGTGTCCGCTTACTACTGAATTAGATAAAATTAGGGCATTTTAAAATTTATGCCCTTTTCTTCTTTTACAGGGGGTGATCTATATTTATGATTGTATGACTGTTTCGTAATTAATAATCTAAAATAATGAACGAATTTTTAGTTAAAATCCAGATGGAGTTCATTTATAATTACCTAACCGATCTAGAAAATTGGTGTCAGATGGACTACGCGTTCTTCTGTCGCATTTTAATTTCATTGGAGTTTTGATTTAAGGTGCGGTAAAATGTGGCAATATAAGGGCTTTTTCCAAAGTAAATTCATATAAGATTGTATTGTTTCATCAGCTGTAAATAGCGTGTGATTGTCAAAATTTTGTATTTCAGTAGTGAGTGATACAACCTTAAATGAATTTTCCGGAAACAAGAGTTATGTATAGTTACAAACATGTTGAAGGAAATATCGAAAATATTAGTGTTTAATTTATTCTCCTGATATGAAGTATTTAAATGTTAATGCATTATTTGTTTTGCGACTGTTTTTGTGCATTTTTGGAAAAATTCTTAAGGTCATTGATTTTTTTATAAGCATAAAAATGTCAGGAAGTGAAATTTTTTTCATGCACAATTAAAACAGGCAAAAAGTAGTGTCAGAATGTTCGATTTTCGGTTGCGCAGGTAAGCCAACTCGTGTGGAATTCCTCGATTTGCGGGGGATTTCAGATAGCGTGGGAATCGGGGAAAGGGCCGTTTTTTGTGGGGAATTTCAGTTTACATGCGGAAGTGGGGAAATGAACTGTTTGTTGTGAGGATTTAAGTGTAATTTGTTTTTCTTTTTTGCATCCTTAATTTCACAATGATTAAAAAAAATATATAAGTGGAGATCTCACACTCCTCACCGTGGAATTAGCCATATGCAGTTGTGTGGCACGTTCAATTCTAGTATAATAAAGTTACAAATAGCTAAACATTTCCGTTGTTCGTTTAGATTTTTTTTTTAATAAAGAATAAATACTCTTTATTTTATATGGAAGAAAACTGCAACATCTTCGGCAAAAAAGTTCTAAAATGAAAATTTTTAGGCACTTAAAACTTGCACTCTTTTGTACTAGAATTAAGTGGGCTATAAAACTTTTTCTAGAAAATGGAATTAAAAAGCTCAAAATTTTTACGAAAGTTTGTTGATTTTTTTTTTAATATTGTCCAAAGTTTGAAACTTGGATTTGAACGCTTTTTGTTAAAGAATGAACTCTATTCTTATAAAAAATAATTCAAATTACGTAAAAAAAATAAAAATCTCAAAAATTGTCAAAATTTGGTGCGACTAAATTTTTTCCGACCACTGTTTGTGCGTAAATATTATATGTACATTTTTTTAATTTTTTGTTAAACTTTATAAAAGTTTGGCTAGCTTTATAAATAACTAAATGAATTACACTTAAAAACAAAATAAACAGAAAGCGCAGCGATACATCAAAATACATAATTTTTGTTTTTGTAAATAAGGAGATAACTATGGGTGCGGAATTTCGCGAAATTTCGAGCTAAATCGGGGAATTTCATTGTCGAAATCAGGAAATAATCAAAAATATGTTGGCTACCCTGGTCTAGCCCTAACCTAAAATTTTATATTTGATGCGGAAATGCATATAGATACGCTCATTAATTGCACGATAAAATCTCCAAAAACGTAGATTTTTAACTAATTCTCTCCATTATTAAACGTACGATATCTCGGTTCTAAGCACAATTTAAAAATCAGGCATTCACTTTTCTATGGCTTCATTAACTTCATTTTGGACTGAGATTACTAAGTATGTAAGTATGTATAAATTTTTGCATAAATACCATTTCCACTCCGGGCCCACGACGAAATTGTATGCGATCATGTAGGCGATCGGTTTGTCCCTGCCAAAATTCTATGGTATGCGGTCTTATCAAATAGCCACCCCAGTTGGGTAGAGGTACCTCACCATTTGGGCCCAATTTATCTTTGATCTCCCGCTCAATTTTATCTAAATGCTGACGTGAAGGTATACGTGTACTTTGTTCGCTAGCCAGTGCACCTATTTGTGACGCACGTGGCCGCTGATGAAAATATGCTAAAGAATCTGCTTTGGGTATCTGCTCGGCCACGCCTTCAATTCGTATCTGACGACGCAATGGTAGCCAATAAAGTGTCATAGCTACATTGGGATTGCAAGCAATGTCTTGTGCCTTATGACTGCCATAGTTAGTGAAGAAGCGGAAACCATCGTCGGTGACGTCTTTGAGCAACACAAAACGATTTGAAGGTTTACCATCTCTGCAAGTAAGAATAAGTGAAGTACATAAATGAGCTTACATGAAAGTGTATATAAGCCAAGTACCTATTTACTGTTGCCAAGCAAGCGGCATTAGGTTCTAGCAGTTCCTCCGTTTTCAGCGCTTCTTCCAGCCATTCACGAAATAGCGTAATCGGCTCCTTCACTTTTATATTATTTTCAAGGAAAACTTCTTTCTTTTCACGATATTTGAGACGCAATGCTGTAAATTTTAATGAAAAATCAATGAGCGCACAGAAAATGTTGCGTAGTTAGAAGCATTTACTATGTACCTACCTGATAAATTCACTGTCGAAGACATTTCTCTAACCGCTAGCAAGCGCTGCAATTGCACTAGTCATTTGTGAAAGAGCAGATAAATGTGATTGTGATCTTTAGCTTAGCAGTAACTTACATCACCTATTGTAATTGGTTTGTATTTATTTCAACAGATAACACTTACTTCTATTTCTTTGGCTTTGTTTTCTCACTTTATTGCTATTGCTAGCGGCTGAACTTTGTGCGCTACTAAATTTGTTGACAGTCGATTATAGTTTACAGTTGTTTACATCGTCAGCTGAGCTGTTTGAGCAGTTCTCTTTTTGCTTCTACTTCGTTTGCTGTCTGACATATAAAGCTTATTAACGAAGCTTTTGCTTAAAAAGCTTTACTGAAAACTTCAAGCTGATTGGTGTTATACATATACATACATACATACATATGTACACTGACAAAAAGAAAGTAGTACGTTTTTAAAATAACAGCATGGGAATGGAATGTCATATTTGTACATACATACGTATATGTATCTATAACATCGGAAAATTGAAGTGGATTTTTCTACTAATATTAGCAGGTTAAGAGGGAAAAATCGTGAAAAACATGTGAAGAACTTTTTTAATAGATTTATTAAACTTGGAGTTTACAGTATTTTGATGTATTGAAAATACTTCACTAAGAAAACTATTATCATAAAAGGGGTTTCAATCAAAATGTGTTTAACAAAGTGTATTGAATTTGACATTGCTCTCAGAGGAACCCCCTTAAAAATTTCAAATTGAAAAAAAAAAAATTATGAATTTTGAATCGTTTGTTTATATTTTTTGACATTATATATTGCCTTAAAAGAGAGCCGCACTGAGTTGTCCATCACACCTTGTTTAATACATCTTGGTTTCAGTAATAGTCTAAAATGAAGGATTTTTTCTCTATTTTTCAAATTAATGTTGCTTTCCCACAATAAATTTTCACTAAAAACGGCCTCAAGCTCATAAAAATTGTTGAATATAATTGTTATAAGGTCATAAAATAACAAAAAACAAATAACTTAAGGACGAGCACACCTAAAAGTTAAACATTCTAATAATGGAAATATTAACAAAAACCAACAAAACCAACAACCACATGATCAAGTGAATTGCAGCGGAATAGCTGCGCTTGATTGTAGTTGGCTGAGTAAAGTGAAATAGTGGAAAATAAGCAACAAGAATTAACAAGGCAAACTTAGCACAGTGCGTAGGCAACTGGCTGAGTCAGTGGTGATCGTCGGTTCGATTCCTACTGAAACAAGTCTGATGAGGAAATGTGGTGATTTTCGAAACAGCTATCACTTCTACCATTTTTTTTCCAATTAATGTTGGTTTTCCACAATAAATTTTCACTAAAAACGGCCTCAAGCTCATAAAAATTGTTGAATATAATTGTTATAAGGCCATAAAATAACAAAAAATAAAAAAACAAGCTAATAACAAGTAAGAAAGTCTAAGTTCGGGCGGAGCCGAACANAAATATATGTTTTTCACCTTTCCGAAAGCTACCGCTACATGGTAAACCGGGGTGTATCCATTTTGAGTAAATTAGCGTCCTTAAATTTCGAAATATTGAAGTTTCAAGCATTTCTGAAATTTACCGTTATATGAAAAGCGGCCGTAATTTAAGTCCGATTTCAATAATTTTCAGCGTTTCTATGTGGCAAGCACAATAACCATACCGAGTTTCGTACAAATTGGTAAAACGGTTATCGAGATATATATATATGATCATAAGTGGGCGGTGCCACGCCCATTTTCCAAAATTTTATCACAAACGTATTTCTTGGTAAAGAATTGTTTCAAGCATTAATTTTGAATAAATTAGCTTTAATATTTACTGATTTATCAAAGATTTCGTATTTCTCTAAATNAGGATTTCGTATTTTTCTAAATTACCGTTATATGGGATGTGGGCGTGGTTATTGTTCGATTTTAAAAATTTTCGGCCATTTCGTGGGTTATATAAAGGGCAACAACTGGGCCAAGTTTGAAAGAAATTGGTGCAGCGGTTACCAAGATATACACATGTAACCATAAGTGGGCGTGGCTACGCCCATTTTCCAAAAATTTATAATATTCTTAT